TCCCACCACCAACACTCTCACATACACCATATTCATACCAAGCAATGTGGGTGAAGTGTCACAAGGACACAATGACAGAAAGCACTGGTCTGTGTAAAAACCAGGTTTGATGGATGAGCACTGTAGAGCCACTGTGGCAACTAGTATTGCAGTGGTCTCCTATCGATCACTAACCCTACCCTGTGCTGTTGAGCTCCTGAGATCTGACCAGATCAGGTTTTGACAAGTTCTTATAGCTGAAAAGCTAGTCCAAAATTAAAGTTGCACTATGTAACTTTTCTGATAAAAAGACCAACAGCTTCTTGCCTCCATGGAGATTCTATAACTTTTGGAGTGTTCCACTGTATGGCATTATACAAATATAGGGTGACCATATTTCCGTTTGTGAAAACCCGGACACCTTTTGGGGGGAATCTTCAGTTTGTTACATAAAGAAGGAGGAAAATAACACAAGAACGACAGCAGCAATAAGTTTTAAGAAGGAAGTAAAAAGGGTTGCACCTGTCCTGTCTGAGAAAAGTGTATAAAGTGTGTGCTGAGGGGTTTTACAGCCTTAAAACAGATAGAATAATTGTAAAATATAAAGTTGACTACTTCGCGGATTTCACCTATCGCGGGTTATTTTTAGAACATAACCCCCACGATAAACAAGGGACCACTGTACTCTCACCTCACAACCTGTGCACATGACCTCCCACTTGTCCCGACCGAGACGGAAAATGGAGAATTTCTTGTACAAGTCATTGTTAAATGCGCATTTGTGCTTCGGTATATTGCAGACTGACCGACTGTTTGTGTCTCGCTCCTTCTGAGTCACAGATGCTACAAAATACGCTCAGTTTAATGCCCCCAATGAACGGTACTGAAAACCCGGACATTTGCATCACTTTATAAAAAAAAACCCGGACACCCCGGACATGACGCAAAATACGGACATGTCCGGGGAAAAACGGACGTTTGGTCACCCTAGTTTAACTTTCTGCATTTTCAAAACAATAAAACGTCACATGTTGATCATTAATATTATTAATCCCCAATATCTGGGTTTCACGTGACGTCACAGGGCTACGTTTGTCAGCACGCAAAATCAGATGGAGGGCAGGAAGTGAACTGACTGGAGGAAAATGCCAGTGTGTTGTGTAGTTTATGGCTGTGCCAATCGTTCTAACCGAGAGAAGGAAAAGTGATTTTTTTTGGAGTACCGAATATAGTCGTCCACAAAGGTCAGAAATGGGAAAAGCTGACAGAAAAACGCCATAAAAAGTGGATTACAAACCTGTTTGCGGTCGGGAGGAGCAATTCACTAATGCTCGTGTCTGCAGTGACCACTTCAACAAAGCTAAATTGTTTTTTGTGGTTTACCTAAACATAAACGAAGCATTAACAACTAACGGCTAACGACGTTTGTTGACATTAAATAGTTGCCGATACACTGCAGTTTTTCCATTACAGTCTATACACATAAAATAAGAGAAACACTCAGCCCGGCGAAGACCAAATGATAATCATCATTTAGGCGTTTTGCACCAAGGTTGAGGACCCATCCACTGACAAAAAAAGTTCTATGCCTCCAAACTTTTGTACGCCTTCATCTCTGGTGTAGAACGATGTCTGAAGAGCTAAATAGTTCGTGATATCCTCTGCCTCGATTGTTGGCAAATCTTTTAATTTGGTTGAAAATTCTCACATTTTCAATGAGATTGGGTCATGCCCAATATATTTGTCGACTAACTGCTCGTACCTTTGTCTTGCTACTGGCAAGGGGACACAGGGGTGTCAAACTCATTTTGGTCCGGGGGCCGTATCCAACTTGCTTTGATCCCAAAGGGGCCGGATCAGAAAACTCATGGCATATAAACCCCAAAAATAGCAATAAGTTCATATTTGTGCAGAGAAACGCAAATCTATTACAGAAATCTTTTTTAATTGATGAACTCTTTCTTTTACAAAATATTATAATATGATGAACAACCTGAAACTTTAAGAAAAATGCAACTTCAACACAATGTTTTAACATTAACTTGTATGTAAATAGGAATTAGTCCATTTTTCTTGTAAAATCCTGCACTCTGCTCCACTTTTCTCATTTTGGACATTTTGCTGATGAGGGTGTCACGGTCAACAGTCAAAACGATCGTCCTTTAAGAGCGTTTGGAAAGAGACAAGTCTTCATTTGTGCTGCTCTGGTGGGAGGGGCCACGTACAGAGACGCTGGAGACGCTGCTGTGATAAACACCACAGAAAATTAACAATATTTTAATAGAAAATATAATTAAAATATTTTTGTAGAAAATCAGCTGAGGGCCAGATTTCTTGGAGGGCCGAATCTGACCCTGTTATGTTTGACACCCGTGCTCTAAATCCTTACAATAAGAACTCTTCTCCATATCTGTGTTCTCCAGTGCCATGTTTGTCTTCACTTCCTGCCCTCCACCTGAAATTCGCGCATCATCGTGATCACGTGACTGAAACCCTCCTATAGAAGTAAAATTCCTGTTCACTTTTCATACCATGAAAATTAAATGAATGAACCAGCCAGACGTCCTTTAGCAGTGAATCATTTATTGCTCTGTTCTGGATACAGGGAGTCTCGTCGTGTCTACAGCGGACTGCAGCTCTGTGGCCAAGCAACAAGCTCCTGTCAGGGTGACGCTATGCTAATGCTAATGCTATTGCTAACTCAGACTCAGATGACAATTAAAAACAGCAGACGTCCATGGACCAGAGGCACATACTTGTAGGACATTCATCCACGCACTTGGCAGCTCTGAGAAGCAAACAGGAAGTCCAAGTTTTGGTCAAACAACACTGAGTGAACACACATATTTAAGTGAAGGCACAGTATTCACAGTAAGTACAGGTCAAATATATTACATTTCATACGGTCAAGTGCTAGTACTGGGCAGGTGTATAGGCTTTTTAAGGAGACATCTCAACTTTTTCCTTTGTACATGTTTTTCGGGGTACATGTTTAAATCTGCACTATGATTTTTTATTTATTTTTTATTTTTTTCCTGGAAGAGGGTACTATACATTGGAATGTTCTACAGTATGACATTTGAAGTGGAACACCTAAAATCCACCCACAACTGCATTTCAAATAGAGCTGCAAAAACTGGGCAGCACCTGGAGGACTAAAGGGGAGAGTGACGGAGGAGGAAAGACGGGATCTGAAGGACTAAAGGGGAGAGTGACGGGGCATGAGGGGCGGGGTCTGAAGGACTAAAGGGGAGAGTGACGGGGGAGGAAAGGCAGGGTCTGGAGGACTAAAGGGGAGAGTGAGGGGGGAGGAAAGGCAGGGTCTAAAGGACTAAAGGGGAGAGTGACGGGGGAGGAAAGGCGGGGTCTGAAGGACTAAAGGGGAGAGTGACGGGGCATGAGGGGCGGGGTCTGAGGGACTAAAGGGGAGAGTGACGGGGGAGGAAAGGCGGGGTCTGAAGGACTAAAGGGGAGAGTGACGGGGCATGAGGGGCGGGGTCTGAAGGACTAAAGGGGGAGAGTGACGGAGGAGGACAGGCGGGGTCTGAAGGACTAAAGGGGAGAGTGAAGGGACGCGAGGGGGGGGGTCTGAAGGACTAAAGGGGAGAGTGACGGGGGAGGAAAGGCGGGGTCTGAAGGACTAAAGGGGAGAGTAACGGGTGAGGAAAGGCGGGGTCTGAAGGACTAAAGGGGAGAGTGACGGGGGAGGAAAGGCGGGGTCTGAGGGACTAAAGGGGAGAGTGACGGGGGAGGAAAGGCGGGGTCTGAAGAACCAAAGGAGAGAGTGACGGGGCACAAGGGGCGGGGTCTGAAGGACTAAAGGGGAGAGTGACGGGGCATGAGGGGCGGGGTCTGAAGGACTAAAGGGGGGAGCAAGGGGGGGTGGAGGGGTGGTAGATAATATTATTAAAACACCATGCCCAATTTAGTTGAAAAAGAAAAGTTGAATTAGTGCATAATTCCACCTTTACATATTTATCTCTATTTGAAACAAGTGGATCATGCCATCAGGCCAAGTCACAGGTCAGATCTGTGGCGAGGCAACCTTGCTTGCAGTATGCATGTTTTCCAAGTTTTTTTATTTTTATTTTTATGTATTCGTCATCTCCACTGAACTGATGTAAATTCTTAGTATTTAATTTTTTACTTTAACCCATACTGCGGAACATTCCAAGGACTGCCCCTACTTACTACTCAAGAGAAGCAAAATATACCACAATTCAAATGCTCAACAACCGTTGCAATTCTGGGTTATCAAAATGAGACATGGTTTGGTTCCAAATGGTTTGACAGGGCTTTGAACAAAATAGGACAGCAAGCATCTCCAGGCTTAGTTAAAGGTAAGATCTGTGGAGAGGTAAGCTCACTCACAGTAAGAATGCATGTTTTCTAAGGTGTTTAAACAACACATAATTATTAAGAAATACCTATATTTTGGTCCATCTATTTGGTGAAGCTGTAGAGCTAAGAAGAGCTCCTACGTGTTTTGAAAGCCTATACCAAGGATTATTCACCTTAAACCGAGTGTTCATATGGAACAGGTATCAGATAAAATACAACAGACAAAAACAGAAAATGTCTCCTTTAAACACCCTAGCAAAATGGTTCCTGACTTTGTAGTAACATGGGGTTTGGTGGCCATAGGAATGTCAGTATAAATATAGGCTCACAATAAGAATAAATAAAGGTGACAAAGGGTACACTTTAAAATGTTAAACACAAAGTCGTAACAATAGAGATGTTCAAATCATTTGTGGTTCAGCAAACTGAAAAAAAAAAAAAAAAAAAAAAACTTGAATTCAGAATTTACATTTGAGTACTTTTAACTAGTTTGGATCAGAAGGCCCAAAAATGTGATTTAATACTTACATTTTGCATAAAAATTATAACATTTTGAATTAAATGTTTTTTGTTTTTGTTTGTTTCAAGTGCAATTTTTAGTTTTTAGAAAAGTTTTTAGAAAATAAATAAATAAAATGATAAATCAGTCAAAAAAAATGCTTTCAACAATTTCAACATTTTAGTCCCAAATTTAAGTTGCACTATGTAACTTTTCTGATGAAAGACCAACAACTTCTTGCCTCCATGGAGATTCTATAACTTTTCGAGTGTTCCACTGTATGGCATTAGACAAATACACAAGACATCATCAAACCAAGTTACAAGTCAGGTCTGTGGAGAGGCAACCACACTCACAGTAAAAACAATACAAATACTTGCAATTGAATTCATGTATGTTAGATAAGTTTAATACCATACTGTGGAACATTCACTCTCTATCTCTATGGTGACAGACACCCATTCGGAAAAGTTCCATGATGTACCTTTAAGCCTAGCAAGTATCTAAACTAGTCATCTCAAATGAATTCTAATTTTGAGACATGTAAATACATCTATTTCGTAATGCTTTTTGGAAATTTCATTGGATAAAATGAATAAGGCACATTTTCAGCAATAAGACATTAAAAAATACATTTCCCATAATGCAACTCGGTGGATAAACAAGCCAGTAAAAGTGAGTACAAAAATACATTCTTTTTACACACAAATTAGCAAAACGTGAAAAATGTGACCAAGCTAAAGGTGCAACGTGAGATCTTTGATTTTATATTTACAAAATCTGACAAACTGCGTACACACAACGCACTATTTATGATGTGTCCACGCGTCCCACTGCCGCACCTCCGGTTCACCTTGTGCTCCTTCAGATTTCCAGTCATAAAAATAAGTACAAGACCAAAAATGCAGATGGTTCACAGGCTGTCTTCAAGTTGAGGAGTAACACTGGTCTGGAGCATTAAAGGTACTGTAATTTGAAACATAAAGGAGACATATTTCACCAATCCACTGTTTTGGTCTTTAAAATATGCAAGAATGTTCCCTCATCAAAAACAAACATTGCAAACGGTAAATTTACGCAAGTACTTTTCAGACGCCATACTTTTGCTCCTACTTAAGTAATATATTGTACAGTATAACAGTACTCTTTACTTGAGTAAAAGCTGTGATTCCTCTTTCCACTGTGAGTAAGTCTAAAACTGACAAAAGCTTTCTGTTGACAATATGAAATGATTTCTGTTTCTAGTGAAAAAGAAAACTAAAGCAATGTCTGCTTCTGGTAAACTGGGACTAAACTAAACATGTGGTTGTAAACTCCATTCACAACCACATTTTAAATAGAGCTGCTAAACTGGGCAGTACTCGGGGGACTAAAGGGGAGACTGGGGGTGGGCTGGAGGATTAAAAAGAAGCTTGAGGGGTTTGTAATCAGGAACTTCTGGCTGTAATCAAGACAGTCTCTTGTGATGTCCCCAACTACTAGAAACTGGCAGCACACAGATTTAGATATGTGCTTATTTGTTTGTTTTACCAGAAAGAAGCAGATTTACCTAATTTGCACTGAAGTTTCTAAAACTGGAAAGAAACCATAGACAGTACAATTAAAACACAGTTTAGTAGCAAAAAAGAAGCAAATTTAGTGCACTTAAATAGTCAGATCAAGTTTAAAGTTTAGTGTCTGAAGATGTCTCGACTTTAAAAACAGAAAGGAGCTCCATGGAATTACGTCAGTATTACCCAACCTTAGTTTGTTTTGATGAGGATACAACATTGTAACATAACTCAAACGCTCAAAAGTATTACATGACTTGTGGATTCATTCTCAACATATGGCCAGTATCCAGCCAGGACAATAACAGAAACAACAGTATATAAAACCATAATGCCAGAGGTCACCTGGTCTGTAGCTCCCACTGAGTACCATCAAGTTCTCTGGTACTTCTAATAGAAGTCCATCACCAATGTAGCATCCAGCGGTGTTCCTTCACCAGTGGTCCAGGGGGAGGTCCATGGCGGCGCTCAGGCTCATGTCTGTCACATCCAGGAACTCGCTGGTGAAGACGCTGGGTGCAGTGGGCGGGGCTACACTGTACGTGTTGGCGGAGGTGGGTGGGGTCAGGTCCAGCCACTCCATGTTGTCCCAGGGAGCCTCACTAAAGGCCATGCTGAAGGCCACCCCCTGGAGCTCGGGTGCGGACAGCAGCAGCTTGTCCCCGACGTGGTGAGGTTGCCGGGGTTGAGCACTGTAGCCCTCCCCCTCCCCCTCCATGCTTCGGCCAATGGGAGTGCTCAGCAGCGTCTCCAGATGGCCCTCTGGCAGATGATTGGCTGGGTGGTCGTAGGGCAGCTGACCAGGCGGTGGGTGCTCGTAGTGCCGGTGGAACCTAGGCACCAGCAGACCCGGGCATCCTGCCGTCATGGGAGAGATATAGAAAGTTAAACAGAGATTGAATCCCTCTAACCTAGCAAGTTATACTTTATTTATACCCTAGATTTGACCTAATCTTTAAAAGCATATTACAGACATAGATATATACTAAGATAGTGCAAAAATATTGACATATTGTGAAACTTGGGGATACAGTATCGATATTGTGGGCTAATATATTTATTGTCCAGTTGCATTTTGAAAATTACTAATCAATCTACCAAACCTAATTTCCTTTATTTATGTGATAATTTTACATAAAAAATGTAGATATAGTAACATATATAGTTTTATTTGTATAGTAAATAATACAAAAAAAAAAAAAAAAGTAAAAGAAATGCAGATATTTTTGAGTTAAAAGCTACAACAGTCACAGGTCTGTTTCACCAAATGACACACTTTGTGTTACACATTTTGTGTATTCAAACATTTTTATTCTAAACTGGTTTATACTTTATCCATCAAAGAGAAATACAAGCCTCAGTAGTGCTCATACCAAGCACTGGTTTCAAATGTAATATTAAAAAAATTATAACATCGAATGACATCTAAAATTGTGGCATTTGTACTTCTTGTTACAAAAGCGTCAACAGCAAAAACTAAAAAGCCAAATCTGAGACTTGTTTCCACTTCAGAGTCCTGCAGTGTCCACAGAGTGATGTACGATATACATGATACACGAGAAAAGATCTCACATTATTGTTCAAAATGGCCCTTTAACATTTACTGAATGACATTGATGAAATGGGCTTTTGGAGACACCTTTATTTAAGGCATTTGATTTTAATAAATTTGTATAATTTTTGCAAACAAATGTTATTACTGATATTATTACCAGTTCTACGTGTGACCCATGTCACTGAATGAGATTCTGAAAAGTTTATGATATGTAATAAAAAAAAAAAAAAGGCAAACAAATGTTATCACTGATTCTACGTGTGACCCATGAATGACATTTCGATACTTTAAACCTATAATATTCTTTCAAATTTGGCTTATGCATATTGGTACAAATAAAGTGATATAAAACAAATCAATTAAGATAATTTAAACCTTCATATATTAATAACTAGAAAAATTGTGGCTTCTGGACATAAAAATGCCTACATCATGTTACTGACCCATGTACAGTTTATATTATACAGGTTATTCTAGTAATATTGCTTAGCTTTCCCTGGTTTGGCCATTTTGGAAAAGTTTTACTTCCTGCATGGACGTTTCCTTCCAGCGTTACTGTAAATAAGGTCTGAAGCTTTCCCAGATGACATGGTAGTTACTATCAGACCAAGCAATGTGACAAACTTAACAGTCAGAAAATGTGTTCCTTGTGCATAAATGGTCCCTGTATTTTGGATGGAATTTTGTATATAGATGGAATAATATAGGGTCGGTGAAATTTTTTTTTCCAAACCGTATTTGAATCTAGGCATATGGAAGAGGACCAGACCTGCATCAGACATTGCAGATGCTGACTGGCTAGTTCTAGTTTTTTATTACACTTTTACTCATGTTTTATGAAACTGCTTTCAAACAAATTAATCTAATCTATCAAATGCTTATGAGCAAATCTCTGAAGAAATATATGATAATGTACTGTATTCACTAAACTATAATAACTATCATCAAAAACTTGCCAAAGGCCGCATTAAAACCAAGGGCTGCCACCTGCCCAGATGCGGCATAAAAGGACTCCTCAGAACTCAGTGTTCCTGTTGTGTGTCTATGGTTGATGGTTTGTTTCAATCTGTTCTTTATGTCTTCTGGACACAGGCATGTCACAGAGAGGCTCCATAATTACAGTAATACAGCAGAAATGTACACTATTTACCTCCATTTTCTATAAGTACGTCCAACAGTTCGTCCATCTGCTGACTCCTGTTTAGCTGCTGGAGAGACACACAGGTTGAATACAAAGAGTCACCATGTTTTCCCACCAGTATTCAAGCACCATCCAGTGTTTGGTTTGTTCAGCACGAAGCTGGTGGAGAAGCTAGTGCAGATAGTGTAGTCTATTTCATCACAAAAATGACAGAAAGATGCAAAGGAACAAGTGAGTCACAGTGTAAGAGGCAAGGTGCACTCAAGCAGAAACCTGTCTATTTCCCTCAGATCCTTTTCCACCAAGACCTTGCTCAGTGCATACCCTGCACTACTTTCCCCAGCAGCAGAGGTGCTTTCTCACATGGAAACAGGAGAGGGTCTTCATGGTGCCCACCCAAACATGAACAACTGCAATGATAGCTGTAGAACGTTTTTTGTAGAAAGTTTTATGCCTCAAAAAATAAAAGCAGATCAAGCTTTAGTGTTGATTTTTGGGGAGATTTCAGTATTACAAAGCCACAGACATCAAGAATCAGCCTGAGCAAATACAATGCTTAACCATGTATACAATATCATGTTTGCTCTGCACTTCTTTGTCACTCTTTCAGAAGGTGGCACTCTGCTGACGACATCACATTTTAAAGCTCCTATATTACACAAAATTCTCTTATGACTTATGAGCTTTAAGCCATGTTAGAATGTTGCTACCTTCTCAAAAATATGTTTTTTTTTGTTTTGTTTCATTCACACTGAGTAATGCTGGTTTATTAGTTCGTCTGCATATCAAAAACTCAAAAGGCTCTGTTCCCCCTTGTGATGTTATGAAGTGGTAGTGTAGTGAGTAGCTCCTTTTACCTTTAGTTTAGCAGAGACTGGCAGTTCCAGAGATTAAATCATCCAAATGATTTTAGTGAAGGTGTATGGAGTTTAAAAACACAGTGGAGCACTTCCTGTGTTGACATCATAAGGTGTGTTTTCTTTTGAGAGAAGAACTCTAAATCTGCAGGGTTTTTAAACGTGTGTGAATGAAACAAAACACAACTCAGGGTGTGTTGTTGATGAGGAAATATCATTATAACAGACCAGAAAATAGACCAGAAAATATGGACTGTATGAATATTCTCTAAGCTGGACAGGAGGCGCACCGTGTGGGGATGAATGAAAGCTGGGTACAAAGCTGCTGAGTGGGTGTCAGTGGGTGGGCACTAGTGGATCATGGGGGGTTACCTGCTGGAGTGCCTCCTCGTAACAGGGAGGTTGACGCACAGAGTTACAGTGACACCTCTGACCAGCAGGGGGACATAGTGACCTCTACATGAAACACAGGCAAGACGTGACATTAGCCCCTCACAAGACAGAAGGGGAAATGCCACATGGGTGAAGGTTATGGACAGTGAACAGAGTGAGTCTACAGAAGGACGGAGTGAACTGAGCTGTGTACTGTATAGACCATAGCATGAGGACGAGGCATCACCTTGGACATGTTTTCACTCTTCACTGAGGAGCCATGGCTGACCCCAGTGTCTGAAGGGTACACTCTGTGGTCAGAGGGGTAGGAACAGTTCATCATCTGACCACCGCTCTTCTGCTGTACCTGAAAGTTTACAGGAAAAACAAGTTCAGTGAGTTCTAATAGTAGTCTGTAGTATGGACATTGGAGATAAATTTCGTGCCACACACAGTGATATGATGAGAGTGACATAGTGAGATTTAGATTCTATAAAAAAAGCACTTAATGTATTAGACAAAAAGCCCAATAATTATCATTATTGCAGAAAACTTGACAAATACAAATTCCTAAATTGGGACAACACAATCAAATATGCAGATTTAATTTTGGTATACAAAGTTGTTAATAATCTTGCTCCACCTCCTCTGAAGGAGTTTGTGAAAAGAAATTCAAATTGCACAACAAGAGCAGCTCTAGAAGCGACAGCTCTGTGCTGTTTAGGAAAAATGCTTTTGGAAGGCTCTTTTTTGCTTATTGAGCATGGAACACAGATCAACTCATATAGAACGTTTTGTAAAGCTTTAAAACTGGTTGTTCAGTGGTCAAATATGTCACCATGTTTAACCAAGTTAAATTTTTTTAATATTGAGGGGTTGTTGGTTCCATAGTGTGTGTATACATATATATATATATATATATATATATATATATATATATATATATATATATATATATATATATATATATATATATACACACACGTAGATACGTGCAAGCAGTGATCTGAATGGTCAAATTATAAGCGCGTGTGAGAGATTTGGATGCCCGTCCCTGGAGAGGGAAAGGAGCGAGGAGGGATAAGAGGACACAGATTTAGCAGGAAACACATCAGACTAAAGACTAAAGTAAAAGTGTTAAAATTGCGTTCATTAAATCAAAGTCTGGCTCCTATTGTGTTCAAGGGAAGAGTTTTTGTCTCAGGTCGGGTCATTATTTCGTCCTGTGTTGGTCACAGTCTGTGTTCTATAGGAGTCTATGGTCGCGGTGTGGACTGTGGGAGACTCTGAGCTACACCGGGAATGTGGCTGCGCTTGTACACGAATTTCAAATGTATAATAATGTGGAGAATAATGAATGGACCAAACAGTCCTTCTCCCTGTTTTGACACTTAAAATGCACAAATCTGAAGGTCATTCTTCTATATACGTGGATTTTCTGATCAAACACTTCCTCAAACTCTGTTCACTCCTGCTCCTCTCCACGAGTGTTGCTTTTTTTCCGTGTCTTCAGACTCCAGTAGAGCTTACAGGAGGTCCCGAGTTGGTGTAGAGTTAAACAAAGTGCCACGCTTTAGTCGAGGTTCATAAATACTGCGGTTGGTGTAGAGAGCGCGTACGCAAGGATTTGTGCGTAAGCGAGCTTTATAAATGTGGCCCCAGATCTGTAACACACAGCAGACAGTACCTACCTGCATGCTACACAGCCTGGCTCCCCCCAGGCCGTGAGGGTGTCCACACTCATCCCTGCCCAGTGGAGGTGTGAGCAGGTAGGGGGCGTGAGGAGAGAGGGGCTGGGGGCTGTGGGATGTCTTTCCTGGGGGGGAGTCCTGCGGGGAGGCTTGGGGACTGAGAAAGGCCGAGTGAGGGGCCCCGTCCATGAGCTGTGTCCCCCCGGGGCCCGCCTCCTCCATGTGCCCCACGCCCGGGCTCTTCAGCTGTTTGGGGGAGGACAGGGGGCAGCTGGAGGACAGGGGCACTGGCTCCTGTTTGACGGTGACTCCGAAGAAGTGTTGCCCCATGAGAGAGGGGCTGTGTTGGGGCATGGAGGGTAGGGGGGGTCCGGTTTCCTGGGTGGAGCCATATGAGCGCTTTCTCTTGTGCAACTGCATCTTCAGCTCCTCCACCTGGAACAAGCACAGTCCAAACATTTATCTTGGTGTATTAAAGCTTACTTAAAACATACTTTTTTTCCCCCTAATTCTGACAGAATAGTACTTCGTAAATATTTGGTAAATATTTTTTCATAGTTGTATAACTAACCTGTCTGTGTCCTGAGATAATCAAATAGAGTTTTTACTGAGAGCAATTGTAATGCTGATTTATTTTTAATTACAAAAGAAAAAAAAATCCAGTTGGTTTAAACCTAAAATGTGTAGCTACCTAAACCCCTGCAGCCAATCATGAGTCAGTGTTAGTGCAGCCTCTGCAGCTCAGGGACGGAATTCTGGAGGTTCTAAGGCCTGTCCATAAACTGAGGATGAAACAAACTTGGATGCGTCTCTATTTGCATGTTAAGGCTCTGGTAACTTAGATTCAGTTGTGATTATAAAATGTTTTTAAAAATGTTTGTTAAAACTGCTACATACAGTTCCTTTAAGTGGAGTGAAAATTATTGTCTGAGATTCAGGAGTAGGACCATGCCTCAACCTCCTCCTCCTCCTCCTCAGAGAATTAAATGGTCACATTTTTCTATAGCGCTTTTCCACCTTCAAGGCACTCAAAGCGCTTTACAACAAGGAACCACTCACCCATTCACACACACATTCACACACCAGTGTACACAGACACTGTGGGCAAGGTGGGTTAAGTGTCTTGCACAAGGACACAATGACATCATTCAACTGTGGGAGCTGGAATCACACCAGCCAACCTGTGGGTTGGTGGATCTGACCACTCAACCTGTGATGTTTATGTTGAGAGCTGGATTCGAACTGCCAACCTTCAGATCATTGGGCGAATGCTCTACCAACTGAGCAACTACCGCCCCAACTCACTTCGACCACATCTCTAATAGCAGCCTTTCCCTTCATCCCAATTTGTCTCAGCTAACTTGACCCCACCCTCCCACCTTCTATCTTGTTTGTCTTTCAGCTATAAGACGCCTACAAGGGGGGGGTCCCGTTCCGGCTGGGCCAATAAAAGATTGTGACGGAATCTCGACCCAGCCATCTCTGCCCTACCTTGTACATTATCAGGAAACTTCTTCTTTGCAGTATGTCGTTGCTGGTGTGGTCCTTGCTAGTGAACTATGTTTTCAGTAGTCCCACCTGTTATATGCACTGTTAATTAACTAATAAATAATTAATGTTTGATGGTAGAGTAGTTTATTTGGAATTTAAGAGACTCATACTAGACTAGTGGTTCTCAAACTTTTCCAGTACCAACATGTGGTCTTCTAAGCAAATCTAAATCAGGTCTAAAGACTATATGAGGCCTAAACCAGGACTAAACCAGGTCTAAACCAGGACTACACACTTAATAAAATTCGGGACCTGTCTCTGCTCTTGATGCAGTTTCCACGTCAGCTCGTCGATCACTTTCTGCTTCTCCACCAGCATTTTGTCTTTCTCTGCCTCCATTCCCTCCTGTCCTGTCCCCAGCCCATCCAGCCCCGCTCCCTCCACTCCATGCCCTGCCCCCAGCCCCTCCTCCATGTCCGTGGGGGAGGGCTGGAGGGTGAAATGTGTGTGGGGGGACATGTCACTGAAGCTCTCCGGCAGGGACCCGTTGAGGGACAACTCGGAGGAGGCAGGGGACATGGGCGGGCTGGATGAAGATGTGTAGGATGGGTAGAAGCCCTGGGACAGTGAGCTGGAGGTCAGGGAGCCACTGGGGGTAACGGGGAAGGTGCCAGTGGTGATGTCAGAGGGAGGGGAGGAGCCACAGCAGGGCTCGGTGAAGGGGCGGAGCCGTTCGATCAGGGAGGTCTTGGTCCCAGAGACGGGCATGCCACGCATCCGCAAGTGCTGCCTCAGCTCGGACACCTACATGAGGGACATTACAGGTTATATTCATGCTAGAGAGGTCCCATATTACACAAAATGGACTCTTGTGAGATTTTAGCCATGTTATAATGCTGTTATCGCATCAAAAGTTTTGTTCACACGTTTGTGTAATCCTTTATTATTACTCTGTCTACATCTCTAAAGCTCAAAATGCTCTGTTCCATCTTGTGATGTCATGCAGTAGTTTTCAAATTAGCAGCTCCTTTTAGCTTTTGTTCAGCAGAGATTTGTAATCCAACAATTTGAAATTAGTCAAATGATTCTAGTGAAGGTGTATGGAGCGGAGCACAATGGAGCACTTCCTGTATGAATGACATGACATCACAAGGAGTGTTTTCTGTTTGAGAGAACTCAGCCTAAATAAGCAGGATTTATGAGTTAAATGTGTGAATGAAACAAAACACAACTCCATTTATATTTTGAGTGGAAAGCTAGTTTCAATTTCATTCAATGCAAGCTACAAATTTAGTTTTGTTTTTTTCAGTTTCCAAAAGGAACATCAAAGAAACATTAATCCAAATTACATTTTGTACAGATTTCACATCTACAATTAGTTTATGTAAATCATTAATAATGATTAACATATTACATAAGGACCAGCACTAATTAAAATCCTTATGAGTTCAGCATAGCATAGTAAGATCCAAAGGTACAATGTTAGAGATGCCAACAGTTGTCAATATCTCAAGAAACAAAGAATGAAAAGCAGCATCTGCATTCGCAAAAAGGATGTGTGCTTGCATTCAAACCTCTATGGACGTACCTCAGAATGATGTCACATATATAAAGGGCAGTGAGTTGAGTGTGTGACTCCTATAAGTATCTTGGAACACTCACTGATTCAAATTTGAGCTTTGACGATTATTGTGCTACTGTGTGTAAAAGAGGCACCAGCACTTTCATTGTCTGAGAAAGTTTTCCTTTTACCATGTAGACAGAACCATAATGGCACTGTTCTATAAAATGTTTATAGAATCAGTTTTAACGTTTTCATTGGTCTTTTTCACTGCTAAAAACAAGAAGTCCCTGAGTCAGTCGGTTAAATGGGCAAATGAGGTGATTGTTCATTCTCAGAGCTGCCTGGACTCTCTGTACTCAAGACAGTTACAGAGAATGTCCCAGAGGATTTTAAAAGACATGCAACATCCACTAAACTCAGAGTTTCAGCTGCTTCCCTCTGGTCAGAAGCTTTTAGTCTCAAGCTCTAGAAAGAATCGTTTTAAAAGGAGCTTCTTTCCAGCTGCTATCATACTTATGAATAAAATATAATCTATTTATCTAAAAATTTTAGTACATTGCCTTGGAAAAATCACGTGTTTTTATATATTTAATATTTGATGTGATTTTAGACAAACATGATGGATGATTTTAATTTATTGTTTATGGAACAAAGCCATTCTGCACTGGAGCAATGTATTAGTTTATTTTGTAATTGTGTTTTTATACATGTTTATTGTTCATAATGTGGATGAATGAAATGTGAAATGTGGAACCAGCCTCAAATCTGTAAAACAAATTTACCTACGGATACGAATAAAACAACCTAATCTAACCTACCTTAAGGTCATCCAGGTTGGCGGGCAGGGGTCCAGGCTTGACCGCTGAGATGCTGTTCTGGTTGGGGAAGGCGTTCTTGATCGGAGAGGAGGAGTTACTGTTGGCTGAGCTGGAGCTACAGGAGAGCTGCTCACTGGTCCCCCTGAACATGAGAGAGCAGTGGTCAAAGTTAAGTACATCACACAGTCCTCTCTGAAAATACTGGCAGCCGTAATTTTAATAATTCCAATACTGTAATTCTAATCATTCTAATTTTGCTAAGAAATTCACTTTGTTTTCTCTAATTTTACCATTTTTGTTAAGTTTGCGATTTTTACTAGTTGGGCATGGCAGCAGATGTGATAAGGCTGGGTGTGTCTAGGGTAAGTTTTTAGGCCTAGTGTCAGGAGAGCACTAAATAAAGTTTCTAAGCAGTGCATCCACAAGTGAATGATAATGAACATTATAGATCAGTTTAGTTATTCTAGATATTGATTCATGCTACTTTCAGACCAAAAGTAACAGCCCTAATATTTGAGGACAGTGTATATTCCAGTTGCTGATCTTCACATGTGCTTACTTGTGGTTATGTGTGGGTGGGTGAGGCTGGTAGCTGAACGCGGGCTGCCTGGCTGGTCCCTGGGTCCCGTGCAGGTGCTGGTGAGTGTTGTGCGGGTGCTGGTGGTGTGGACTGGGTGTGTGCGTGCTTCTGTTGGCTCAGGATCTGTAGCTGGAGGAAGAGCTGCTGCTGTTGGAGGAGGCGGGCATAGGCTGAGTCCATGGGCGGAGGAGATCGCTCGCCCTTCTGATCTGGAGGGATGTACTGGTGATACTTGAGCTTCTTCACTTTGGGCTTCACGTCTTTGGGTTTCTTATGGCGGTTCTTGTCAGACGACTTTGACTGTTCGACAATGGTGGAGGTTTGGTTAGAGAAGACTCACCCAGAGCAGGTGTTCATTTGGTCAACCAAAATATTTTTGTCATATTTTTCATGTCTTATTTTTAGAGACTAAAACACATTTTTTCCCCCTATTTTTGTTGACCCTAAGGATTGATGCTTTCCTCAAATATCAAAAATTAAACATAAATGGATGAATGGACCTAGATTAGACCTAGACTAGATCCAAGTTCAACTTTTCAATGGCAGAGCCCCAGTCCAGACCATAAACAAACACAGCATCCAAGTAAGAAATAACACACAATTTATCATTATTAAATTCATGAATTATTATGGATTTGAACATTTTCATCAACTAAAACTAAAAGATTTGGTTTCCTAAATCTTCACTAAAACGTCGTCAAAAGACTAAAATAATGATTTATTGTCAAACGTAACACTAACCCAGTGTTGAAATAGTGTTGAAATACAGCTGCAATAGTTTGTGTTCTCGAATAATATAATGTCATTTTAGATGGAGGGTAGAGGCCTAGTGATGGGTTAAAATCAGGACTGTCTCCTTAATTAACAAATCAAAACAAAATCTAATATTTTCTGAATGAGGTCAAGAGTCTTCAAAAAATAATCTAAAACCCACAAAAATAACAGTACAAAAGATGCAAGTTAAAACTAAAATAATAACATTTAAATCAAATAACCAAACAAAAAAAATCCACAATAGTTGCATCAAAGACACTTACACTACATTATACTATGGTCAGTAATACTTCTACAGCTGAAGAGCATCATTTCCACACAAGGCAATGTGGGTGCAGTGTCTTGCCTAAGGACACAACAACTAGAACTAGACCCACACACTCCACTGTGGTACCTGGAATCCCCATCCAAGTACTACAAGTAACATCAATGACAAATATATATCTATGTGTCTAAAAGTTTAATCACCGAATAAACTCCCCCCCCCCCGTGTGTGTGTGTGTGTGTGTCTGCACGCCGCACACACCTTGACAATGGCAGGGACGGGGACAGGGGCTGTGGTCTGACTGCTGCAGCCCTCCTCCTGGATCTGCCCTGATATGTCTCTGGATCCTGTCTGCTCAGAAACAACACAACAACAAGACTGTTTTAGTAAATGGGCAAACTTCCCAGAATGACTTACATAGGGCATGTACACTTGTCATCACTAGAGGGAGTCATAGGCCAGTGCACTGCCCATCCCTCTGTCCTGTACTATTACAAATCTAATATCCTGTGATTTCTGTAGTTTTTATTATTTATTTATTTTTTTTGTATTGGGGTTTAAATGTTCAGTTTTTTAAAATGCTAATATAACTGCAAGAGACTGAAAGGAGCATTATCACCTTTAATAACATTTAATAGAGGACTAAGGAAACAACTGATAGAAAGTGTAGTTTAATTGTTTATTAAAAAAAAAAGCAAGAGATTCTCATGCAAGAGAGTCTGATGTTCACCTGTCATAATAGTTTATTTTTTAGTAACAGCCTCACCCTGATGCACATATGTACATAATAATTATTATGCTTATTCCACACGGACCTCTTCTGAGCCTTATCTTCCTCCTGCACAATGCGGATGATACATGTTTTCTGTAGGGTCTGGTCATACTTGTACAGTACGTGCAGTCGTACACTATGAGTGAGCAGAAAGCCTGAACCCAGTGACTCCACCTGGAGCTGGAACAATGATAAGGACAGTGTTTATAGACCCTTCAGATAAATACGAGCATGTTTACAGTGTCATACCTGCTGAATGACCAAGAGTTGTGACAGCTCTGCAAAGGCCAGTTATATCTGCAAAGGCCAACAGTTATACACAGAGGCGGGGTCATGCCACAGACTGTTTCAAGAAGTGGACTGAGGGAGTGTTATGTCACCCATAGCATTGAGTTCCAGCCAATTGAAGCTCATTGAGGCCTGCAGTCATAGGAATACATTTGGAGCTGAGTTCCATTTCTGGAATTCCAACCACAAGTATAAAAGTAACCAAAGAACCAACCTAGAGTGAGACTGTTGAAAGCAATGGCCCTTCCTGTCCTCACCAGGAGCGGGGGCTTAGCAGTGCTGTCAATCAAATGCTAGTGGGACTGACCTCGAGGAAAAAGGTGCTTGGTTGTTCATATCTTAATTTTGGAACAGCAGTAGTTACAAAGAGAGGAATGTTGTTGTTTTTTTCAATAGAAGAGGTGGAGCCAGGAGTGCATCCATGCTCACTTCCTATTTGGAATGGCTAGTGGGTTAGCTATGGTCATTTTTTAATACAGTCTATAGGCAATGCAAAGACAGAGCCCAAATAACAGTGAGCAGGGTCACCTCTCCACAGATCTGACCCACTACGCAAAGATTTGAAACATTGAAACATCTTTTCAGGGTCCTTTTTGTATGTCCAATCTTGGTCCACTGAAGGTGCAGACTCCAGATCACGTCTTTTTCTCCAACATCTTCTGGATGTCCAGTATTGTCATTTGTTTGTTGAGAGTGGGATTCAAACAACCAACCTTCAGATCAGTGAACAAACTGAGCTACACTGCTGCCCACCAGTGCCTCCCTTTTAGACCATTTTTATGGTTCAATTCATAGGCCCATAGAATTATAATAATTTTTGTATGAGTAGGCTATAATTTTCCACAATAAATAAATAAACATACATAAACACCAGTTTTAACTAAACACAAGCTGCTAGTGACCTTCTATCATTCCACTATTGAGAGCCTGCTGACCTGTGCTGTGACAGTGTCAGTGTGGCTCTCGCTGCACAGAGGCTGACAGGAACGTCTACAGCGGGTCATCAATACTGCACAGGACATTTTGGCTGTCCTTTGCCTTCCATAACCACGTTATACAACGCTCGATGTCTCAGCAGAATGAGGAAGATCATTAAACACAAAACACACCCTGGATTCACCTGTTCAATCTGTTGTCTTCTGGCAGGAGCTTCAGGTCAATTCCAGCTACGACCAACAGACTCAGGGACAGCTTCTTCTCCAAAGCTGTCACCATACTGAATCATTATTACACTGAGAATTATTCATTTGTTTTAATTATTTTGTTTAATTCTTGCACTTTGACGGAGCAGCTCTGAATTCCATTATACTGTATAATGACAATAAAGGCTTTCTATTCTATTACTGGTAACAAAATATCATATGCTCAAAGAAATAATTAACAATAAATGTTTAATCACAAATAATAAAAATGAATATTAATGAAAGTTACTTGTATTATGTTGATATTTATAATAAAAAAAGTATTATATTCATTAATAACATAATTTTCCTGCGTCTGTGTTAGATGTCCCTATGACATCCAAAAAAGTCCCTTAGTCCATGGTTCAAAGGTTTAACAGCAGATTGACGTCCAAGTGGGTTCATAGTTGGACATCCAAATAGTGGACATAATTTGAATGTCATTTAGTCCAGGATTGGTCTTGGACTGCACTACAGACATGATCTGCATATCTGTAAGACGTTTAATGTTTAGTGGGGAGATGTAACTTGGCCTAGTGCATGAGGCCACCTTCTTGTCTCCATAGTAATAAATAGGTTTAATGCCATATTGTGGAACTTTATGTGTATGGACTGTCACATGTGTAGTTATCTGATGGTAGACATACAGTTGGTGTTCCAAAGGAAGAGAGTATGGATGGCAAGTGCTTCCTTTGAGCTCTGGCTCCATTTGGCTGTAACTGCTGCTGTCAGGCTTGTGATTCTGACCTTAAAATGTTCATATTAACTTGCTCTACATCACAGGTGTCAAACATGCGGCCCGGGGGCCAGATCCGGCCCTCCAAGACCTTTAATCTGGCCCTCGGCTTATTTTCTACTAAAATATTTTAATTCTGTTTTTTATTAAAATCTTGTTAATTTTCTGCGGTGTTTATCACAGCAGCATCTCCAGTGTCTCTGTACGTGGCCCCTCCCACCAGAGCAGCACAAATGAAGACTTGTCTCTTTCCAAACGCTCTTAAAGGACGATCGTTTTGACTGTTGACCGTGACATCCTCATCAGAAAAATGTCCAACATGAGAAAAGTGGAGCCGAGTGCAGGATTTTACAAGAAAAATTTACTTATTCCTATTTATACAAGTTCATGTTAAACAAGTTCATGTTAAAACATTGTGTTGAAATGGTATTTTTCTTAAAGTTTCAGGTTGTTCATAATATTATAATATTTTGTAAAAGAAAGAGTTCATCAGTTAAAAAAGATTTCTGTAATAGATTTGTGTTTCTCTGCACAAATATTTGAACTTATTGTTATTTTTGGGGTTTATATGACATGAGTTTTCTGATCCGGCCAATTTGGGATCAGAGTTGGTTGGATACGGCCCCCGGATCAAAATGAGTTTGACACTCCTGCTCTACATGATCCTGGGGTTTTTATTCCATTATTTTGTCCACAAATCCAGTATAACAGTGATTTATTAATCAGCCAAAATGCGTCTTGTGTGTGTCGACTCATCATTTTGCTTAGTTTATAAGGATTTCTACGGGACAAGAACTGAAAAGAAAAGTGAGTGAGTGAGGCAGCTGAACATTTGGTATTTTTGGTATTTACCTATAAGCCATGATTCACAAATTGAGTTTCCTAATATTTTCTTTCTGCATAAATAGCTGTTTTTACATGAACTCCCCCAGCAGGTGTAGTATTGTGAGTGCAGTTTGGGTCAGATACACAGATACATATTAATCTGAGCTATTATTTTATTCATGTGTTTTATTTTTAGTCAACAAATCAGCATATGTCTTTATTCAAGCAAAGTTTCATTTAGTCAACTACAGCCTTAAACGTGCATTGTGTAACTTTTCTGGTTCAGGGTCTGTCAGATGCTTTTCTCCATGGAGATGTTACTGCTGTGTCTGAAATGTTTGATAGTACATACTATTTTCAAGGAGAGCAACCCAGACCAAGTTACAAGTCAGATCTGTGGAGAGGCAACCACAGTCAGAATGCCTGTTTTATGTATTTTCATCTATAAAACCACCTGTAATTGAATAAATGTAAGATAGAGCTGTTTAATGTCATACTGTGGAACATTCCGTCCAGAGCAATGACATCTCCATCGAAAGAAGCAAGTGACAGACCCCAAAAAGTTATGGCAGATGCTATTTGCACCCTGGGTGTAAATAGCTAACATTGTTATTCACACATAGGGCAAATAGCCATTGTTGCTATTTACACCAGGGTGTATTTAGTGTGGCACATAGAAGGGCACCCGGGTGTTCCTAGACAAAAATACTATTTACACCCAGCTTATTTATAAAAAAAAACAAAAAAAAACTCACTGACGGTACAAACATAAAGGCAGCAGCCCAGTGAAAATCAATAATATTTGATGTTTTTTTTTAAGTCAAAATTATGCTGAATCATCGATCAGTTATTTGCAGTCTGCACCTAATGGTTTAGTCCCGATTAAATCTTGTTTTAGTCCTGTTTTAGTCCTGGTTTAGACTTGGTTTTAATCCTGATTTTAGTCCTGGTTTAAAACTGGTTTTAGTTCTGGTTTAGTTCTGATTTAGTCCTGGTTTTAGTCCTGGTTTTAGTCTTGGCTTTATTTCTGGTTTAGTTCTGGTTTAGTCCTGCTTTTAGTTTTGGTTTAGAGGCGCACGGGAAGAGGCATGGTCCACGCGGTGTACTGGAGAACACGCGGTGTACAGGAGGAAATGCGGTGTACTGGAGAACACGCGGTGTACAGGAGGAAATGCGGTGTACGGGAGAACACGTGGTGTACAGGAGGAAACGCGGCTTACGGGAGGAAACGCGGTGCACGGTCTATGGGTCCACGCAGTGTATGTGAGAAGGAGTAACGCCAAGGTAAGGGGCCTCTATTGGTTTACGAGACCCTACTCAATGTGCGTACTGTGCGTATTGGGTGAACTGGTACTGACACTGTATCATGCATTGTGACAGAATGGGGCCATGTGAAAAAATCCACGATAACCAATGGGTTTGGAAAGGCTGGACTGCTCCGTGATGAACAGGACAGCACATGAGCAAGGGACAATTTGCCTGGAGACGAAAGTGACATGGGAGTCGACGTAAATAAAATGACATGAGTGAAATGACTGTTGAAAAAAGAGACGTGCTGAACCTGCACACTTACGATCTGCACATGTATGATCTCTGTAAAGTTTAACATGAACCATCTCCAGAACAGACTCACCACTGTCCGACAGAAGCTTCGCATCAGGCACAGAGCGAACTTTTTTTTTCGGCGGGTATTTTATACAGATTAGCCTTGTGGCGTTATAATCTCAAATGGGCTGATGTTGCTATGTAGTAGTTCTGGTGCTTACGAGGGTCAAATTCTTACATTTGAACCACTTATAATGTTTCCATTCTCTTACTCGAGGCTGAACTTGAACTGCTGAATAGACAGATCAACTAGCATAACCGCTAGCTGTACATCGCACATGCTAAATAAACTGTCCATGATGCTGTGATGCCTTCAACTTAATTACCCAAATATTGATGGTCGGACAGGCATTGCAAATATATTTTGTAGCAACATTGATTTACCTTTTACCTTTCCTTACCCTACTTTCATTTTGAATTTTATTTCTTTGGATTTTCAAATCCAGCTTCCTGCACTTTTCACAGGAAACGACGTAAACAGACGCATCACCATTCCCTTTTTTCTTGAGACGGGTGTAAATAGAAGAATCGTGTCCATTGAACTATTAACACCCAGGGTGTAAATAGACACTCCGAAAAGTTATACAGTTCACCTTTAATAATAATAATCATAATTTTCATGACTCTCAAAAACCCTTCACACAGTTCAAGACAAAACACAAACTAAAAAAACAGAAAAAAAAAGAGATGCAGATATTTGAAGACACTTGATTTTTCAGGGCCTGTGGTTACCTGGCATGGGCTGGCGAGGGCGCTGGCGAGGCTGCTCCCCTCCGCAGTGCAGGCTGAGCTGTGGGACTCTGGCTCGCTGACCTGTTGCTCTGGAGACAGACTGCCGCTGCTGCTGTCCTCCTCGAAAGCGTAAGAGTCCTCCTGCTTCGGAAACTTTCCATGGTTCACTGGAATACAAACACACAAAAACACAGTTACAAATTACAACGTCCATGAGATGAATCACTTCTGCCAGTGAACAAGTCTGCTTATTCGCACACAGCACTTACAGCCAGCTATTTATATTGACCCTGCCATGGCTGACAGGGGCAGAGACAGGTGCGCAGTGTGGTAATACAGTGGTTTCAGTGGAAATAAGAAAGATAAAGGGAGATTAAAAACAATTATGTGAGGAGGGAGACTAAAGCATATATGTGTTGTCATAATATTGTGTAATACCAGAGCAAGTAGTAGTAAATAATTTTAAACCAACTTTACGCCATAGTCATACATTTTTAAAGGGAGTATTCTGCAAAATTGATTTTTTGTTAGTTATAACATTGTTCCACAGTCAAAAACATGCCTGAAGAGGTTTGAGATGTTATCCTTGCATGCTTGAGTAATCTAGAGATCTCTCAGCAGTATGAGCCCACGCCTCTTAAAAAAGGTTTCGCCCTCAAGCCTACACCACACAAGCTCCTGCACAACAGTCCTTCATAAATATACACTACAACTTCACAAACCAAGTAGTTTCATTAGCAGGATGCACACAGATTGTGATAGTACTCTGAAGGGGGAGTGACTGAGCACAGGAAGCAAAGGAAAGGTAAAGCATCAAAAACTAAACTGAAAATAATTACTGTATTTTTCCGACTATAAGGTGCACCGGTTTATAAGGCGCAATATCAATAATGTTGAATTCTCTCTGTTTTCATACATACATACATACATAATTAGATTATAAGATGCATTAATCAAAACAAATGGACAACTGAACTTAAAACCACACAGCTCATTTACATAAACTATTAGAGCTGAAAAAACAACTCGCTCCTTGTGCGCTGATGTGGTTCAGCTTCTGTCAAACTAAAGGACCCGACTCCGCAAGGCACCTGACTATAGTAGCCATAATGCTCTGACAATCCATCAAGCGATGCAGCTTTGTAGTTTACCAGTACTAAAACATTTTGAGAGATGCTTGAGAGGGAGGTCAGGAACCAGAATTAATACATAAGGCGCACTGTCAATTTTTGAGAAACTTAAAGGATTTTAAGTGCATCTTATAGTTTGAAAAAAATACGGTAAACATTCTAATAGCTGTTGTTTTGGGTGAATTTAAAACAGGAAAAGGCAATGTGGTGATCTAAATATGTTATACATTACAGTGAATACCCCACAGAAGTCACACATCCCCTATTAAAAAAAACAAAAAAAAAATCTACCAAGATTAGAATTAATGGGTCCATTAATTGTGGCTCGACTTGGGGAAAATGTGAGTCTGGATGGATGTGACAGAAAATCAAATGTATTTATGGACGGACTCTATGATTGTATTTCACTGGATCTGAAGTAGCTCGATGCACTGGAAACAATTTGTGGCAAATAGAGCCATCGAAAAACAAAGTTTGACATTACCGGAGAACTGGAGACACTGTGCCAGGAAGGACAATGCTGCAGATCGTGGCACGTGCTGTGTGAGCGCACAGGCGTGCAGCGAGGACACGATGTGGTGGCACGGGGCAGAGTGGCTGTTAAGGGACACTCAAACAATGGATTTTGATGACGTTCCGGATTATATTGTTGAAAATACCCTCATAGAACCAAAGCGCGTTTCTCAACCTTTATTTGATTTATCCAGACACAGTGCACTCAACAAGGTTGTGAGAATAACTGCATGGATTTTGCAATTCATACAAAATACAAAAAAACAAGAAAAATTCAAGGACGCGTTGTGCACAGAGGAACTCAACAAGGCAGAGGAATACTGGATACGTTTTACTCAACAAGAAAGTTTGATGCTAGAAATTACAGGTTTATCAGGTGGCATGCCATTGGATAAATGATCAAGAATCCTGCCACTGAAACCATTTCTGGATGAAAATGGGCTTTTCTGCATCGGAGGAAGCAAATTGGTCCTACTCACAGAGACATCCAATAATCCTCCCTGGCAATGACAAGTTTTCTGAACTTTTAATTCATGAAGATGTGCCCATGAAGATGTGATGCATTCTGGTTTGCAAGCAACACGATGTCATATTTGAGAGATATTTTGGATTCTTAGAGGCAGACAAATGACCAAAAGATGTGTCCGAAAATGTTTAATTTGTAAAAGGACTCGCGTAAGGGCTGGACAACAAGTCAGCCACTCCCACGAGAGCATATAAACACCACACAAGCTTTCAAGACAGCTGGCGTGGACTTTGCTGGACCCCATTATACAAAGCCAAATAATGAAAAGGCATCCATTGCACTATTCACCTGCGCTGTGACTAGGGCGGTGCACTTGGAGCTGGTTTCATGCATGTCCACTGAAGCATTTCTACTGGCTTTTCGAGTGACTTAAAGGCTCTATGGAATATTTTAAATGGAAGTGAGACATAAAAACTGTTTGCAAAAACGGACTCTGCCCCCTATTAAAAGATACCCACCAGTGCCCTCATGTGTGCGTGTTCTAGTTTCAAGTTAAACATTTTTTACTCTGTCCTCCTTCCCTTTCCCCTTAAACCTTATGAATTTTGCCTGCAACGTTCTTGTCACACTCACTACAGACCTACTTGTTCTTGCAGCAATATTCGAGATGTCTGATTAAAGGTGAACTCTGTAACTTTCTGATGGAGGGCCCATTATCTTCTTATCTCCATGGAGATGTCATAGCTTTTGCCTGGATTATTCCACAGTCTAGCATTAAACGTATCTAACTCCATGGAAACAAGCAGCTGATGCCACCAGGTCAAGTTACAGGTCAGAGGTGATTAAGCCTGTAATGATAATCAATAAATCAATTAATCCTATGATAACTTTTAACGAGCTCGATAACTTTTCCGGCCTCGATAAATTCTATTTGCATGCTTGTTTGTTTTCCTCGCTCTCTCTCTCAAAGACGGTGAATGTGAATGTCCTCTCGTAAGCGTAATGACGCTTCAACCAAAGAACCAAAACTGTTCAACTCCGTGTGCCAAAACAATCAACATTGGTGAGTGGGACACGCCTCAACAGCCACATGCGTCAAATGCTGCGAGCCCGCAAATGACGAGAGGAAATGTCTCAAACCCCAACAGAACCCGAAATCCCACAAGAAACCAACACGATACAGACAGAAAAGAGGCTCCCTCATAGAGAAATAACATCCTGTGTCGTGGGTTCATACGAACACTTCAAGACCAAAATGACGAGGCAATAGCAGCAGCCACAGACAGAGTGGTCACTATATACCAAGTCAGTGACTAAAATCACTTTTAAGGTCAATTTTGTTACAGAAACTTAGTAATTCATTTTATTTATTTCTTTGGTTGTGTTTGGTTCAACAGTGGTTTATTCAAGTGCATTTTTGTGAACAAGTCCTCACTGTAAGCCAGACTACATTAGACTAGTCCTATGTTAATAAGTCTGTTTTATTTAGGCCTGTTGTCTTTGGTTGTCTTGTCTGTGTTAAATGTTATTTAGAACTTAGGTTTATTGATCTTTGAAAGGGTGTATTTGCCTTTTTATTCCATGGTCAATATATTAGTTGAAATCGGTTTCAAAATATCAATATTATCATTTATCGCAATAAATTCTTGGTCAATTAATCATCCAGCAAAATCTGTTATCATTACAGGCCTAGAGGTGAGCCCATTCACATATTTCTAGACAACTTTTTAAACTTTTTTTTTTTTTTTTCAGTTTCCATAATTCAAACAGTACTTACTTGTCATGGTCAGACTTGACCTGTATCTTGACCTATTTGCCTCAATTACTAGTGTTTATGATGATAGTTAATGCCATACTGTGGAACATTCAAGGACAAAAGCCAACATCCCCATGGAGACAAGCAGGGGTTGGACCCTCCAGTCAGAACAGTTAAATATTGCACTTTAATTTCCAGTCATCAAAAGCATCTAGATTCTGAAAATCTAGATTTGACAGCTCACACCTCACACACTCAGAGCAGAGGTGTCCCGCTCTATGGCCCTTATGATCCACCTGCGCTCTGATTGGCTGCTCTGATATCACGTCGGGCTGTGATTGGACCAGCCCGAGCAGCTATCTGTAAATGTGTGGAAGTACAAGACTCCTGTTTGGTGTGATGGTTTCAATCACACTCCATTTCAAGCACTGGCACTCCCTGACCCCTGTCTGCTACTGCACGTGCTCAGTAGAGTTGCTATGATACTAAAAGGTGTAACTTGATTTTCATACTAAGGAATAGACTCAGAGTGAATACAGATTCCAAAGCCATGATGAGGATGACAAAAAAAACAAAACAAAACAAAAGACAATAGAATGTGATTTTCAACATTAAAGGGCTCATATTATGCTATTTTCTGATCTATGTTATAATATTCCACCTTGTGGGGTTAAAATCGTTTGGATAATTTCAACCTTGGAACTGTTATTCTCAACTGAACTGAAGGTAAATGGTGGAGCAGAGCATTTTGAGCTCTGGATATATAAACAGACTAATAAACCAGGATTACTCAAACATGTGAATAAATCAAAACTCAACTCCAGGCAGAGTCCTGCACAGGCAGAGTCACTGAAAAGGGCGACTTTTAACGTTCTGGAAGTTTACGGGCAGGTATGTGGGCGGGGAGTGATAACACACGGGCGGGTCAGGTGAATCAAATGAATGACAAACGGGAGAAAAATACTTGATGCACATCCAGGACGTCTACTGCCCTGGTAACAAGTGCCATTTCCCCTTTTTTTCCCAGAACAATGGGCCAGGCTGAGAGAGATTTTAGTGTTTTTATTACACAAACCATCAGGGGAAGAGATCGGCTCAGCGGCTGCGCTCCTGGTTTAGTCCTGGTTTAGTTTTGGTTTAGTCCTGGTTTAGTCTTGGTTTAGTCTTGGTTTAGTCCTGGTTTAGTCTTGGTTTAGTCCTGGTTAAGTCCTGGTTTAGACCTGTTCCAGTCCCGGTGTAGTCCTGATGATTGACTCGGCAGTTTGCAGTGTTTATGTATTTATGCTAATTATACTGTTCCAG